AAATTATGTTGTGATATGCAAGATATTAAGTTTGTTGCCGATGCGCAAGATTAATAGAGAGGCAATTAACATATTTTAACTGAATTTTAAGCAAAAGGAGTAGATCAAATGTCTAAAACGCTAATTAATTTTTTAACTGGAAAATGTAGTTAAATATGACAGAATTTCACAGGAAATTAATAATAAGGCGCGCAGGTCTAACATAAGTATACAATTTTGTATATATATATTAATATAATGTATACTTATATTATTAATATAAGTGTACACTAATATAAGAATACATTATATAATTATATTTTATCATACAAGGTGGGAATAAAAATTAATGGGTAAAGAAGTTTTCAGGCGTTACTATTAATTCGGAAGCAGCAAAGCGGTAATATAAATTGGCTAATAATTTCCATCTCTTTAGCCTTAATATTTCTAAGTTGTACAACGTTCAGATCAACAGTGTCGTTCGGATGAAGTGCTAAATTTACCTAAGAAACTGGTGCACCTAGAAAAGATACACCATCAGACAGGCACTAGATCCTTCACGGAAGATTAGAGCTGCAGAAATATGGCTTTTGAAATATTCAGGAGAATTCTGTAAGTAGTGAATATAAAACGTATTCATAATGTCTTTCGAGATTTTAAATCATTTCATAATTTTGTTGTATTCCAAGATTTAGGATCTCAGTCTTGACAATATACAGTCTGTCTATCATAAGAAAAGCTCTCGCCGGTTAGTCTGCAGCTGTCTGTTGCCGCATTAACGAGCCTTGGTCCATTTTCCGTAGGGGTGTCTTGAAGATTTACTTTTCAGTTTGCCATCTTGGCGCATTTAAAGATGAATTGACAACCTTGGTTTACTCCATTTGAAATATACTAGCCCTGTTGCTATAGCTACCTCCACTAGCAAGACATTGTGGCGGGAGCTCTTCTTCTCGTAGACAGACAGTACTGCATGGCATCCTACGTATGGTCGATAATATGTCATAACTTAGGCACTGGTTTCAAAGTGGCAACCCGTTCAGCAAGGGATCCGCGAAGAAATTTTATGCAGCCCTCGGAGATATTTTTATTATGGGTTTGTAATGATAGCAAAATTTTAGTTATATATGAAGTTCGAATTTACGTTATTTTCATTTCCATTAAAATCAAAAATAAATAATAAACCAGAAAATGAAGCTAATTAATGTACAGTGTGGTATAAATCTTCTTTAAAATTTGGAAGATAGGGATTTTATTGATTTTCACTCATACTTGTGAAAAAGTAAATGAGCTCAGTTACGAATTTTTTCACTGAGAATAGTCGCTTTGTTTGGAGATACATGAAGAGATTATCTTTGTAGCTGAAAATTAATGACATAAGAATCAGATGAACCAATAAACGTCTACAGTCTATGATGAAGATAATTTCTAGTGATTTCTTTCTAAAGTAGCATACTTTATAAAAAAATCGAAATGCTATCAAGTGTCAGGCTGTAGCAAGAAACATAAAAATCTAAATTTGTTTACATAATTTGCATGCATTTTAGTAGACGCCTAGGAAAAAAATTAATACATAAGTGAAAAGAGACCCGCTTGTTACCATTTATTCTCGAGTTTTATCCCAGTTGGTAAATTTTCTCTGAAAACTTAAAAAACGTTTTCATAGTTTGTTTATTTTTAGTTTGGGTTAGTCAAACACTTTAGAATAATTTGAAAGAAATGTCAATCTAAGAATTAACTGTTTAGCTGTCAGTATATTTGAATTACAATAAAAAGTGCCCTCAAAGTATCCGATATCCTCAAGGATCTCCCCAGAGACTATCCTCAAGATAGAAAATAAATATAAATAAGAATTTTTGCCCCTTTTGATATTATTACTATTTTTATGCATGTTCTAATAAATATATAGTAAGCTATATTTAACATTTATTTATATTTTTTATTTTGATAATAAAATTTTTCATTTTGCGAAGAAAAAATAAATAAAAGAGACGAAGAAAAAGAAGGAAAAAAATCTGTCCTGTCATTTGTTTTCACATGGTGCGTTCGACCTCCATGCAGTTTGAGTTTGAGAACACTGTCTTAGATGTCTGTTAGAAAAAGACAAACACATCGTGATGAATATTGTGCATGAATGCGTGTACTCATTAGAGATGATGAGAAATAATTTTCAGCTGTCGGAAACATACTACACGTTGTCGGAGATCCGCTGAATACCAACAAGATAAATCTTCCACTTATAAGGTATTTCTCCCGCTTTCATAGTGTGGTGTAGTGGTTCTGCACGCTGGGCCGGTATTCCAGAGGTCTATGATTTGATTCCCGGCGAAGGCGGTTGCTAAATTTCATCTCTTCTGCTTCCATAAAATACCTAATGTCTCTACACACTATTATAGAGTAGTCACAGAATGTCCATTTTTCTACTGATATCTAGATATATGGAATGATGAACTTTTCCATCCGAGCAGAGTAGTTGGGATTACGAACTGGTCAGACTGGAGTACTCATTTCCTGTCGTCAATTATCTAGTGTCTAAATTCTGAGCCCAGGTGAGCTGAATAGATCTGTGTTATGCTCAGGTTGGGGTTCGAGTCCTAACATCCATATTACGGAGGGAACATTCCAAATTTCTCAATTTGGTGTTTACTAAAGCCTCCACATTTAATTCCCCGTTACTTACGACAGTGCTGTATTCCTGATGCATAAAATGACTTTTCCCAATTACTGTTGGTCATGTTCGTCGCAGTCCTTTTATTGATAAGATGTTTTTCATAATTCACAGTTTTGCCATATTTCTTGTAGTCACGATACATGAATTGCTCATGTGAGAAACTCCGCATGTTACCTCTATTTCTGAAATGGCCCATCTATTGAGCTTCAACAATTAGATCATAAAAAATGCTCAAATTATAAAAATTTGCTATTTTGAGAACGAAAACAGTTCCAGAATGTTTATCACGTGCACATGCATGGATGAGCTCAATTATTGGCATGCATAATCATTTCTTGATTTGTTCAAGAATTTCAAACAGGAAATAAAAGTTTATTAGCACATCAGCTGTTCGAGTCGTCCAAGAAGGGTGCTGGCATCGAAAAAGTCAGTAAAATTTCGGGAAACATTCATCGGCTCAGATTTCCGGCAATGGCTAAATTAGTAAAAACTGATACGGGTACTATTGAACAAATTTTATATAATGATTTATCTATGAGAAAATTTCGTTTTAAAATGGTTACTTCTCAATAAATGGAATTCGAGCGAACATTTACATCGGTATGTTTTAAACCATTGGGAATGTCCGAAGCTTTTTGACAATTTTACAATCTTCGATAAATAGTATTTTTTTTTTTTTTTGTTTTGTTTTTTTTTAAATAAAACCCTGAAATTTTGCATCAGTCAATGCAGTAGAAATTTCCTTTTTCTCTGAGGCCAAATGATTCAAGTCAATGCAAATTCAAATTAAAAAACAATGATGATCTTTTATTACCTCCCTCCAATATCTGAAATATTGTTCGTGTTTAATGGTTACCTGAAGTATAGAATGATTAATCAAGTATTGTAAATATATTTTCGAATTTTTCGTGAGGCAAGAATAAAACAACATGAAATGGAGAAGAATAATTCATGAATTCTTCGCCATGATATTGAGCGTATCCATAACTTATATGTCAAGCCTTTATTAGCTAAACATATGATCCCAGTCTTTGAACATACACTTTTCTTCCCTAGCCAAGTTGACATTTTTTCCTTGTTTTTAAAAATTCAAGGCTGCATATTTTAGACCATTGATGCAGTGAAGGAATATATGAGAAAGCTCATATCTAAATTATCGCAAAATAACTGCAACATTGCTTCCAGCAGGGAAATATTGTCAAGATATGCTGAAGCAATCAGCACAAGGATTGCATTCAAATGACAATATTTTTTGATGCGAAAGCCCGGCAATATAAAATAGCGTAATAATAGTACATGAATTTTAACCGTTCCTCGTCTAGTAGCATTCGTTAGCTAAATTTGATTTTGAAAGCTCTAGTATTTACATCAAAGGTACATGCAAAACCTTTAAAGTAAGTCCGCAGATTTTTAATTAGTTAATTGTTTTGCACATGTGCTGAAACTTGCGCTTAATAAATAGTACGGCTATGCTGTAGCAAATTTTCATTTAAACTCATTTTGCAACTGTCTACAGATAACAGATTGAGTTTACCATACGAAGATAAAATTCTCAGTGGTGTATAAGGAGTAATATGTCTTAATTTCATATGTATCTTTAGCTGAAGGAATATGAATTATGATATTTGTCTATAGGAATAACCTTTAGCTTTAAATACATATATAATTAATTTTTCATTCTTATCTTTTTCATTTGCAAATATTTACTTCCTCTTGTCTATACTATTTGCAAATATTAGTTTACTGCTTTACCATTTGAAGTAATCACTTTATATTTATGTGTGCAATTGCCAGTTCTAACCTCTGCCTTCTCATCAAAAAATCTCACAAACAATTTAAGATATAGACAAAACATTTTTTTTGCATGGTTCTATGGCTTCGATAATCGATCTTGCGAATACTGTAGTAAATACTTATTCAATAACTTTAATGTTTCTAAAAGTTATTTTCCACGAGGAAGCAAATATTTAGCTTTTATATTTAAAGTCTGACTAATCTCTGTATGGGAAGAAAATGTCCCTGAGTGACAATGAAATATATGCGAAGCACATCTCCCCAATACTACCAATTAACATCGGAAAAGTATTATTTGTAGTACTTTTTTAAGGCACAAATAATTTGTTTATATCACAAACAAAACTTAGATTTAAAATGTAATAATATTTTCATAGTGCACGTTAATACTGCTGGCAGTATTCAGTCATTCATACCTTCATATTAAATAATATTATGATATAAGCAGGAATGTTACGAGTTTTAAATTAATTTCTATGCTAATAAATGCCTAACCTTATGCTTAAATAATCTTCGGCAAAACTTTAATTTAATTTGTTCAGATATAAAAATATTATACCTTACCCTCTTTACCTGACTCTACATTAAAATCAACATGAAGATCAGACCTCTGCTGCTCAGCAATTTCTACCTCCAATGGATCACTTGTCATCCGTTTGACTTCAGACAATGTAGCGGTACAACGTAATCTCATTTCATTCTTCTGGAAATGACGAGATTTGACTTCGAATCGGAGCCCCAGAACGGTGGATACTTCTCCATTATTATACTCGATGGGTAGTCGATGAACCAAGCTATCGTTGCGTACCTAATATAAAGTAAAATAAACAGGAATAATAAGATCAGCTGTAACAGAAACAAGTCAGGTATAATGACATATCGTAAACATTAACTATGACTTGGGTTTCTTAGTTATGATATTTTTTACTACCTTGATTTCTTGAGAATTTTTCAGTATGATTTATTGATACCAGAAATTACACCTTGGTTACCATCGAACACTCTGTCTTTTTTAAATAATGCAAAGCAGCAATTGCAGCAATTGTGTTTTGGCGTATATTTGAAATAAAACTCAAAATAATTTGATATAAAAAATGGATGTATTTCTCTTAATATTTGACTTCATTCTTTTTCCAACAACGTAAGAAAAGTGAAAAAGTGAATATTATTACCATTTAAATACTATATTTAATGCTAGGAAGAACTAAATCTTTGATTAAAACAAAGAGAATGAGAAGGTTCTCCAAAATTAGCATCAAATCTGTACTGATATAAAGTTTTGTTTCCTACCTAATTTGGCATTTACAATAGCTTATTTGTTTCCACATATTTTATATATAATTGTTAAAGGAATGTACAGAGAAAGGAAGAAAAAATATATTTCATCTGCTGTTTAAAATGCTTCAAGTATAATTTTTGCATTCATGCATTTTTGAGCAAGAATTTATTAAACAATTTTTACAGCAACGCATTAAAACTTGTGTATATCTCTTACATCTGTAAATATATTAATGTTAATCATATACACTAAAAATTTCTCATTCGTCTACATATTTTTAAGATTTGTTTGTTAAATTCTTAAAGATCAAAACATTGTGTACAAGCTTTTCCTTAAACTGCCTAGTTAATCTTTCTGCCAAATGCTGAACTAGGACCAAAATATGAATGTTTCTGAATTGTGGCTTAGTAAAGAAGTTAAGTAACACTTCAAATAAATTATTAATTAGAATTATTATTAATTAATTAAAATTTTGTTTTCATTAATTTACTTTTTTTTTTCAAATTTGGTCTTTAAAATCCAAATATGCAGCTTCAAATTCTTAATTTAATAAATTTCTTTCACATGAAACATGAATCTGAACAAGATCCAACTATCAGTATACAACCTTAAATTTAAAATTTACCACCTACAGACTATACAAACACTTACCACCTACATACTTATACAAAAACTGTTATAATAATAAAATACGAGGATGCGAAATATAATCATACACTTCACATATAGTATAATAATTCATTTCATTAGAAGTCAAATCAAACAGTTATTATTTGCAGATAATTCGAAGAATACCTCTTTAAAATCAACAACACATTAACTAATTTGCATAACCTTATCCGGAGTGACTTCTTCTGCGTACAAATGAATAAATGATACAATAGACTCACCTAAGCACTTCATATTCTCCTTTAGTTCTTGAGCATACTAAATCAAAGTGGACGAGACACGGAGACAAAATCGCTAAGATTACAGAACAGATTCTACAAATGAATCATCTAGAACCGGTATATTCATGGCTAATGTTTGAAATGTTTACAGATTTGGAATTAATTTCAAACTCTGACCTTTACATATGTCGTAAGCAAAATACTTCGAAGCACTACTTAACAAACTGTCAATAATAACAGAAGGATTTCATAGCAACTGTTCGCAAGCATCCGGAAGATATTTAATTAAGAACCATCATTTAATGTAGGAAATCTACAATATAATAGTTGTGCTTTTTTCTCAGCAGGAAGAAGAATTATATTACGCTGCGTAACAAAATGTTTTACGACGAAGGAATTTTCAATAACATCTAATTTATAACAAAACACTGTTTTCTAAATGAATAATACATTAATGTACATTTTATATGTAAAAGCTTAGAATCTCTCTAGCACAAAAGACATGTGAGCTGATGTGATTTGACTCATGATGTTTCATGTCTTGAAAATGAACTTTTGTACATTTTCCACACAGTATGCACTTTTATACTTCGTAAATTAAAAACTTTAGTAATAGCTTCATCCCATATTTAGTACCCAGTTCTACTGATAATTAGCACTTTGCGCATAATCAAGGAACGGATTTTTTAATATACTCGTACATCTATGTATTAGCTATATTTATGTAATACACTAAACCTATTTTTGCTTTAATGTGAGAATTCCGTTGCATTTTATTGCCTTACATAAATGCATTCTTTTCTATATTACAATATTTAATTGTATATTATCATGTATAAAATCTTTGTACCATGCAGTGTAAGTATGTAGCATACATTATTATATCTTCTAACTGACATATAAACAACAGGTAAGCAATTGTAGATATATAGTGTCTTTTGGTCACGAATTGCAGATGCTTGCTCGCTAATCGGAGCTCTCTCACTCTACTGTGCACATGGGGGAAAGCCAACTAACCTATCATAAATCGGCGGTGCTCACGTACTCCGTCAACAACATTTTATGCAGCTATGGTTCTAGAGATATTAGGTTATTTCGAAGCAGGAAAGATGAAAAATGAGCAATGCCCTCGCTGGGACTCGAACCACGGAACTCTCGAATACACGCCGAGCGTGCTGATCACTAAACCATGAAGGCCTGTTAAGAAGGCGGGAGAAATACCTTGTATACTTCCCTTTTAAAGGGCGACTGAGGATTAGGGGACCCAATCGCATAATCCTGGTGGTGGAGAATCATCATCCACTAACCTTTTATTTCGGGCACCACTGTAGAGACATTAGGTTACTTCGAAGCAGGAGAGATGAAAATTGAGCAATGCCCTCGCAGGCACTCGACTCACGAACCTCTCGAATACGCGCCGAACGTGCTGACCACTACACCACGAAGGCATGCTAAGAAAGCGGTGAAATATCTTATACGATGACCGACAATTACTGTTGGAAGACGCTTCGGCATTGTGAGAAAAAGTCTTATGTTGGAAGACGCTTCGGCATTGTGAGAAAAAGTCTTAAGATAGGTGCTTAGTTTATGTCAGTCCATGATGATTTCACAAATTCATTTGGTATAGGCGTGGGTGTATGTTGGGCCACCCTTTTGCCAGTCAACGACCACACATATTGGATAGGCGATATATCAGCACGGGCAATCGAGCTGTGACACTGAAGTGACACTTTGGACAATGAAGAATTAGTTGAATGTAGCAGGGTTCGTGAATTGTCCTACTGAAATTTGACCGCAATCATTCTTGAAAGTAAAGAATACCTAACGGCTTCAAATGGCGATGCATAATATAAGGATCAATAATGCCACGAGATTGGGATACTGTCGTAATGATGCATCCTACTTACAGTATCATTTCGAGATTCGTCAGAAAAGATCACAGCAGTTTGTCAGAAAGGACAAAACCACATTCGTCAGAAAAGAAATGAGATTCGTAAGAAGAAACGATTTCAAGCCTCTGATGACTTTATGTGTATTGTTGAACGTAGAATTTTACGGCTCGATTTCTGTGCTGCCGAAACAATAATCGACTTAATGACAACCCAAGATAGTATGACACAATCTGAGAAATCGTGCAGATACCTGTTGTTGTATAGCACACCAGTTTCCTCACCAAGGCTAAAGGATGTTGCAAAATCGTTAGATATTTATTGTGTTAAATGGCATAAAATTGTGCAATGCTCTAGTCGGTATTCGAACTTAAAACCTCGTGACTTCTAGCCGGATGTACCAGTTACGCCATGAAGGCACACATTACCTTTACCGCGAAGAATACTTAAAATGTGCTTCTTTATTTATAATAATAATGAGGACAATGTGCCCATAGTATAGGGCATTGCTGAGTGAGGTTAATAAGATCCTGAACATTGGTCTGTGTGGCCCTTTTGAACCCATCGATTGAAAATTCTCATGACAGAGAATCGATCTCCACCGACGCTAGTAGCAATTGCTTGGTACTCTAATTCGCAATAGCTGTAGGCTGCAATTCTCTCGCGATCGAGTTATGAGACGTTCTGATATGGGTTCTTTTTTTTTTTTACTTCAGGGATACCATGACCTTCAACACAAAAAATAAAGTCTATTTTCGAATGAAAAATCAGCATTTCAATCTGCCATTGTATACTATTTCAAGAGCGTGTCGCCGGCGCATATGATTTGCATATGCGCTGCACGGATAATCATTTTCATGCCCGATCGAGACCAGCGTATGATGTAAACTTCGAATCTGTTAGATGCTTTTTCCATGATACTGCATTTTGGGTGACCAGCAATATATTATTATAACATATTACTCAATATAAATCAAACATATATATGTATTTAATTTTTAACGGATTAGTGAAATTTGTTTTCCGTTGCTTTTACTAATAGGTTTAAGAGCCAGACGTCATTAATGTAAAATGACCTTTTTACATTTCGTTAGCTATTATTCAGTGTAAATATATAGTTCGACGTTCATTTTATATGCATTTTACTCCAATATTTGACGGAGATTTCTAAGGGTTGAATTTTTTTGTGGGTATGAGATTAATACAATTGTGCTATTAATACTGTTGATAAAATCATTTGTGTAGGATAGCATCATGACTACACTTGAAGAAACCTGGGTACAGTATGTATCAGTTACCACGTCTGGCTTAACGTTTACCGAATCTGTACTAAGTTTGGTCGAGAAACCTCTAGTAAATGATATGCAGATGTCTCATATCCCTATTCCTGTGCCAGTGAATTCTCGAAAGAACTGCTGCCGGGTGGATTTTAAGTAATAATATTCGACAAAGTTATGAAGGTTAAATGTCGGTGTCTTGTTTGGGACTTTTTTGAGACCAAATCATTCAATGTAGTACCTAGGCCTGTGATAGCTAAGGCACTGCTTTGTTTGCTAAATGCATTGCTTTGCTCCGAAAAGCTGGTTGTTCACTTGACATTCGACGAAAAAATAATTTAATAAGTTCTTTTATGCTTGTGAACTTTCGATCCCAAAGCTCAGTCAGTTTCTGTTTGCCACTTCAGCTCCTTGGATTGGATTCTTGACGAATTGATATCAATCACATTAAGCAAGCTTCGAAATTTAGAAAT